TGGGAGAGGGAGAAGCAGGCTTCCCGCCAAGCAGGGAGCCCGATGTGGGGCTCGATCCCAGGACCCTGGGATCATGACCTGAGCCAAAGGCAGACACTTAATCGACTGAGCCACCTGGGCACCCCAAGAATATTATTTTTTTAGAGATGACTAAATTTTCCCTTCAAGGTATTCAAAGGTGTTCTGATTACCCAGTGCCTTTAGGTAGGCAAATAGCTAATGGGTTTGCCAACATGATTTGCATATATTTGCAGATAGGCCAAGCAAGCGACTTTGATGCTGTGATTGAAGATTACAGATGTGTGTAATACCTAACACAGTGCTGCTGATTTCCACGAGTAGTTGTTCCTTTGGATGGAGGCACTATTTCTCAATGTATGTGTGCATGTATGTATGTATGTATGTATGTATGTATTTAGTGAGCTCTATGCCCAGTGTGGGGCTCGAACTCACGACCCTGAGATCAAGAATCGCATGCTCTACTGACTGAGCCAGCCAGGCGCCCCATGGAGGCATTATTTCTCAAGTGTATTCCTCAAAACTCTAGCTCCACAAATTATTACTATGTATTAAAAAAATGAGAAAAAAAGAAGGAAAGTTAAATACCTTTGGGAAATGCCAAATTAAAATCATACAAGTTTTCTTTTCTACAGGTCTTCTTAGAGCCTTTAATACACTGACTTCTTTGTAAATTTCCAAGAGGGTGTTTCTCAAAGTTAATGACCACGGGACCCTTTTCTTACAGAAGCTCCTCTAGGTACTAGTGTCCCATGGAACACACTTTTAGAAATTCTGGAAATACAAGTATCTTTGTCTGAGAAGAGGCAGGAATAAGGGTGAAATGTAATCCATCGATATTCATAATCACCTTGGTAAATTCAGTTAATCAAATTAATTGCACTTCTTGAGCAGCACTCTGAAGCAACAAGCTTTAGACAGATCAAAATCGTAAGAAAAGAGAAGTCCAAGTTATAAGGGAAGCTCCAGTTCAATGCCCATCCTCGGGTGTCAGCTGGGGGTTCTGGGGGTGAGACTAAGTCTCCCCCCACAGCCCTTAGGGCTGTTCTTACTCCTGTTTGACTCAGGTTGAATGTTGACCCCACCCCTAGCCATTATCTTTAAGCTCAATCTTATCAACACAGGGATGACATGAAACAGATAAAAAGGTAATGCTCCACCCAAAGAGTATTTACTCCTTCCAGATGACATCATTCTTCTCTCTAAAGTTTTAAGCAGTCTCTCTCCAAGTAACCCAAGACCTAGGGCAAGAGGGGAAAGATAGCTCCACATATCCTAAGGCTGACTATGTGCAAATTATAAGTCAAGCTAAAAACTCTTAGATAAAATATGTTCTGTCTTGTTACCTTGACAAATAGACCTTCATGCCCATAGGAGGTCAGGTCTGAGTTTCTAATTTGTGATAGTTTGGAGTATTGCCACTGACCTGGTGGCCCAGGAAGACGGTCCGTGGGCCCCTCTCTTCCACCTCCAGCTCTGTCCTGCACAGTGAAGGATCGCCCACACAAAGGTGTACACCCCTGAGGTCATACATCTGAGCTCAGTCCACACTCTCTAAACACCAGTCCAGACACCTGCGATGCCCTTGCAGCTGTGAGGTCTGCCCTCGGAGGAAATGTGGGGACAAGTTTTCCCCGGTCCTGGAGGAGCTTTCTGAACTGTTGGGGTGGGAAATCCTAGGGATCCCTGAGGATGGTGCACACTCTGGACAAGCTCACGGCCTTGGCCCTGACCATTCTCACCCTGCGAGAGGGGGCACACCTGGGGGAGGGCCAGAGGTAGGCAGGTCTCAGGTAAAGCCTAAAGAGTATTTGGAAATGAGAATAAAACCTCTGCGAAAAATCACACTTTAAAAAAGCTGCAGCTTTGCAACTAGCCCCAGACTCGGAGTTAAAAAAAAAAAAAAGACAAAGAAGGGTATTTCTTATTTGAATTTAACTACTTCTAAAAGCCTCTGGTCAACTTTTCTTCTTGTTCTCCAAGGTAAGATTATTTTCCCTTTTGGCATTAAAAGGGAAACTACATCAGTTGTGTGAAAAACCAAAAATGATGTATTTTATCAACTTCAAACTTGTCCCGGGGCTTTCTCCCACACTGTGTTAAATAATAGAAGACTTTTTAATTGAATTTCTTTGTGTGTAGCATATGCTGGGCGACATTATGCCAGCATCTTGCTCTAAGCAGCAAAACGTCCTTCATTAAAGCATTAAGATCCAGAGCATCATTCCGCATGGAGGGAGGGAACACAGAACTGCAACAGCTTGAAACCACATAAAAACAGTGCCTCTGAAATGTAATTGTAAAAACACATTGAAACAAAGTGAGGGGGGGGATGAGACTTAGAATTAGAGAACAAAATCAAAAAAAAAAAAAAAGAAGAGGAAGGAAGGGGGGAGCAAGAGAGGGTACAGAAGGAGGAGAGGAAACCCTGTGGCACAACTCTGTCCATAATATCAAAGCAATAACGTTTTCAGCATCCTGGCATTCCATCTGCAGGCTAATCTATATGTTCATTTCCCCTTGACAGCCACCATCCTTTAGCGGTGGGATTATAAATGGATGTGTTGTGGATCGAAGCAGTAACGATGTCTGCACTGACACATGGCTGTGTTCTTTACCCCAAGGATCCTGGAGCTTCAGCAGAATGGTGACATGGACATCCTGAAGCACAAATGGTGGCCAAAGAATGGCCAGTGTGACCTGTACTCCTCAGTGGACACAAAGCAGAAAGGAGGTGCCCTGGATATAAAGAGCTTTGCAGGAGTCTTTTGTATCCTGGCGGCTGGAATTGTCCTCTCCTGCTTTATAGCCATGCTGGAGACGTGGTGGAACAAGAGGAAAGGCTCCCGGGTCCCATCGAAAGAGGTACTTGATTGAGAGCTTCTGGTGCTCAGTTGAGCCAATAAGCGGGCGGTCTTTCCCGGGAGGGTAATCAGCAGGAAGAGGATAATGGGCTGGGGGTGGTCCTTGTTTCTTCTTCTTGGAATATTGAAAATGAATTATTGATGAAATATAAAAATCGATAATGCCAATACCAGTGACCATTTTAAGACATCCCAGATATGTGAAGCAGAGATTTGCAGTGCTTGCAAAGACTGATCATTTCATGTGCCATCAAGGGCTTTAAGATTCTGCCAGATCTCAAGGTAGACTTTCATTCAGTGATTTTCTTAAAGGCTGTGATTCCCTTGACCAGTTCACAGAGATGCTTGTCATCTTATTTCAATAAGGTGTTTAACTTATAGGTAAATTATTGGTATCTCTAAGACTCAGCCGAAGAAATACAGTGCTGTAGGAACATAATCAGAATTTGTCTCTTCACTACCAGCGGCTCCTTCCCTCTATCGGTATGTGGACCTATAGAAGGGATCATATGTTTTTAGCTCTTTGATGGCTCTAAGCTTAATGAATCCAAAGTGTGGAATCATCTAGAGTTAAATTTTTAATAAAATAAAATTAAAATTTCTTCAGAGATCTGAAAGAATAATTGCAGAGTTACACATAGTATCTCTTTGAAAGTGGCATGTGCCTTGTTTTCATCAAAAATTATGGAATTTACAAATCAGCAGAGAAAATGTGAAGTTAAAATAAATTACTGGATTAATTTATCATATTTCTACTGGACCAAAGGTGAAAATTTTTTAAATAATGAAATTATATTCATTCACTAAAGCTTCACAAAATGAAATGGAAAATGACCCGAATTTGCTACATGATTTGATCTGCTGGATAGTTTCAAAGGACAGTTTTAAACTTTCTGTAACTAGACTTTGGCTAACTGATGGTTAGAGCAAATCCTGAGAAGATCTGCTTTAATGCACAAATAAAAATGACTTCTCAGCATTCATATGAATTTTTACATATTAATATATTCTTTCAAACAGATCTTTTTCTAAAGTAATCTGAGAATTCCTTTCTACCGCCTTGTATGCAAAATTGATCAGCAGCATTTATAAGGAAAAGCTTGGCTTACCAAAGATAAAACTTAGCTTCCTACCTATCTGAATGATCATACATTCTAAATTAGTAGAGTATGAACTAAAAATTAAGCAGGGTTCACTGTAGTGTTTTCTTTATGGAATAAGCTTCTGGTTTTTCTATTGACATTGATTCAGTGCAAAAGACCACATTAATGCAACATTATAGCTGAGATTTCATATTCTAAAAAATCTGGAAATTAAGGACTCCCAAGCTCCTTATATTTTGAATTACTATATATGATATTAAATTTTTGCATTATTATATCTGTTGATGGATGACTACATTATAGTTGCTGTGGGAACCATAAAATTACATCTCTCAACCCTCTAAAGTCTCAGTGATAATATTGTATTAATGGATATTTTTTATTGGATTTTGAAATGAAAAAGGAGAAGGAAAAACAGTGATGCACATCAAAATATTTTTCACTGAGGAGCACTACAATAGCACAATGAAAAAAATACATACTCCATTCTAACTCATGACAGCTAATCCAGATCTATGAACAAATATTTTCTCTTCTTATGATTAATAGGTATTTTTAAATCCTCATGAATTTAATTTATTGAACTTGGCTATAAATATGACTGATAGGAGACAATTTTTTTTTCTTGCCAGTTTTATTTTTCAAACGTTGGGCTTTCATGCTCACTTTAAGTGAAAATCCTTGAAGATTTATGAATTGGTTTCAGCACCAGAAATCTGAGATTTTCCTTCCTTTTCCTTTATTAAGTACCTTCTTACTAAGACTCCATTAGCATAGCTCAAAGCATCTTTGATTTAGAGGCCATTTAGCATAAACCTGGCCCTAGACCAAAGTTGTCCTTCGCAGGTCATGACTTGAAGGGGTCTCTAAAGGTCTTGCTGACCTCACAATATTGCCTCATTCAGGTTCTAAATAGCTTGAGTGTATGACATCCCTCAATTAGAAATGGATTCTTTTGTGTTGAATGTTGCTCTTTCTGAATAATCTCACATCTCTCTGGCCTGAAGAGAAATAACACTTTAACAGTCACTAACACTTTAGTGTGAACTAGCATATCGTATCACTTATCTCCAAGAATGGAAAGTTAAGGTTAGGAGGGAATAGGAGAAAAGAACAGAAATCCAACTTGGAAGGAGACACTCTGAAAAAGGAGAAAGCACGTGGAAAGAAGAGGTGTGGAGGGGGACTGAGTAGTTAAAACCGTATTTTTTATTTGTACAGATTTGCCTGGGTCTGTCTCTGATCTCATAGAAGGCAATCACCTATCTACTGCTCCCCTACTTTTGTAGTTGCATGTGACATATATAGAACTTTTAGTGCAAGAAAATTATTTATTATAGATAACCTTATCTCAGAGTCATATTTGTACCCCCAGAACCTAGAGCAATGCCTGGCTCATATTAGGTGCTCAATAGGTATTTGTTAAATGAATAAACCCCAAAGTTCAGTTAATCACATATCATGTTTGCTGAACTACTTTTTTTTTTTTTTTTTTTTTTTAACCATGGAAGCTAGTACTGATGAGAACCTTATCTTCTTTTTCTTCATCTCCAGGATGACAAGGAAATTGACCTGGAGCACCTCCATAGACGTGTAAATAGCTTGTGCACAGATGACGACAGCCCCCATAAACAGTTTTCCACCTCGTCAATTGACTTGACCCCTCTGGACATTGACACTTTGCCAACACGACAAGCCCTGGAGCAAATCAGTGATTTCAGGAACACTCATATCACCACAACAACCTTTATCCCAGAGCAGATCCAGACTCTTAGCCGCACACTGTCAGCTAAAGCTGCCTCTGGTTTCGCTTTTGGCAACGTGCCTGAGCACCGAACTGGCCCATTTAGGCACAGGGCACCTAATGGGGGCTTTTTCAGGAGTCCTATAAAAACAATGTCATCTATTCCTTATCAACCAACTCCTACCCTGGGGCTCAATCTGGGTAATGATCCAGACCGAGGCACCTCCATATGAGCATCCAACAAAATCTCTTCACTGTTTCTTTTGTAGGACTCCCTCTGCAAGGAGCAACTCTAAAATTGTGGGACTAACATGGATGTAACACTTAAAAAAAAAAAAATCAGGATTATTAGTAACAATTATAGTTCTTTCTCTCCACTTTCTCCCTCTTCTCTCTCTTCTATTTCTTTCTCTTTTTCCCTCTCTTTCTGTACATTTCCCTCCACTTTTTTTCATTACTCAACTTGTTCCCCCAGAATATAGTATACTAGGATCCTATTAGTCCGCTTTTCATATACTGTACTTCAAGTATAGGAAATGTGCACTGAGTATACTAAAAGTATATGCAGGATTAATTTTACATAAAGGCCTCTTACGTAACATTTCTCTATTTTTAAAAATATAATTGCAATAACTTCAGTCTTTTTACATTCTTCTGCTGCATCCATACAACGCTCCACTGTTGTTGAGTGTCCTTTAACTGTGGACCAAAGGCAACCCCTGCAGTGTTTATAAAATAATTTAAAGACCATTCAGGCCACATAATATGAGAATGCAATTTTGTAGGATTACAAAAAAGCCATTAATATGCCAGTCAAGACTACAGTTAAAACTACTCTCGCACTGCAACAGTGCATATGACCTTTATGTGATTGTACAGTATTAAAAGTTTTTTCTTATGTACAGTAAACTTTATCATATGGCAGAAGCCTCTATTGTGTTAAATAAATTAGTATCTCATCTATATATACATATATATGCACCTATATAATGTGTATATATATTAAAGGGCGGCCATTGCTATTGCAATTCATTTAATAAAGCTTTAGTTTAAAAAAAAAAAGCATTGTATACAGGAACTATGTATAGTGCAGGGGGTCTTTTCAGTTAGAAAAGGCAGGTTGCTTTAATGTTCTTCTGACTCGTATTGTTTGCCAACAGAGAATATTTTATACTTTTGTTATTAAAACATCCAGGGCGATTTAGTATTTGTTCCTAGATGTAACTCCTTTGAGTAGGTTTTGCATTTGTTACTCAGCAGTGTATAAAGCTAACCTTGATAATTTTACTTTTAATGAATATCTAAATGGAAAATGCTATTAGCCAGACCACGTCCACAGCAGCACATAGAGCTCTAGAAGAGTTGAAACGTAGATCATTGAAGGTTAATAAATTCTCTTCCAAAGCAGAAAGCCAATCGATACAGCTGTAGTTGGGGAGAGGTGGGAGCCCTTATGAAATATTGATGTGGCCTTAATTACTGTCCTACATTATCCTAAAGAAGAAAATATAATGACCATACTGGGCTCTCGACTTAACCCCGCCCCCCCGCCTTTTTATTCAGTTCTATTTGGAGGAGTTATGTATTTTTTACATTAGTGCCAAGTGTATAGGAGGATGACAGCAAAAACAGTGCCTCTTTGTGCACGATCCTTTTAAAGTAGCATTCTTACCTGTTAGAAATAGAGAATGAACTTTGTTTGTAATCCTTAAATCAAAACGTGGTAAGTAGGAAGCAAGAACTTATCCTGTGTTTTTACGCAGCCATACACTTATTTTAATCTAATTCATTCCGTAGCTAGGATTGATATAGGAATCAACCTATGTGATTTGCTTTAGGAGAAATTAAAAGGTATATTCTTAAGGTATATTATATTTTGATGCTAATTCTGTTCTGGGGAGCATCTTGTACTGTCACTGTTTTTGTACTAAATCTTCAAATATTGTCTACTGTGTAAGGCAGAAAATTTTCTTATCATGCAAAAACCATTTTGTTTCCAGGGTAACAAGTACCTAAGTGCATGCACGACTTGTTTTCCCTTGTAACATTCATGATCTCATTCACAACACTGATTTTAAAACAAAACAAAAAAAAATTCTTTACAACAAGCTATATAGGGACATACCAGATGTTGCAGTGATTTTAGCTATCAACAAACTGTTAACCATGTACAATACTTAAAATAGGCCTATTTTGATGTATTGCCTATTATACGAATACACAAAACACTTTTTGGAGGCCTCAGTTATGAGTGGCAGAGCTTTCTGTGTATAATTTGTCTAAATAATTTGTCTAATAAAAATGTTTTCTAAACTTGCTCTCATACCATTGAAGTCTTAACTATAAAATTTGACAATGCTTACTCTCTCACAGAACAAACTGAATTTTTCTAAAAAATTATCTTGAGTTAATTAAAGCATAAAACACATGAAGTTTTACTAGCAGAACTATGCCGAAAGGAGTGGCTCTCTAAAAACAATACTGTGTGTGTGTCTTAAACCAATGAAAGACTGCCTTTCTGCTATTTGAAACAATTGGAACCAACCATATATTTGTTTTTCTTCACATATATCTATATTTGTGATGTCTCTGTGAGTACTTTTTTGGGAGAGAGTTATCCTGATTCATGTAAACAATGCAACCATTATAAGAATAGCAGGATGATGGTTTGTTACATCAAAGAAAGGAGGAGAGAAAGAAAAAGAAAGAAAGAAAGAAAAAGAAAGAAAGAAAGAAAGAAAGAAAGAAAGAAAGAAAGAAAGAAAGAAAAGAAAAAGGAAATGAAGGGTAATTAAACTTAGAATTTATGTATTAATGATTGTTTTGCTGTTAGGGAAATACTCATCATGTTGAATCTATTAATTTGAAAATTAATTGACTTCAAGATTATTTCTAATACAGTGTTACTTTCCTCATTTGAACAACAATATTTTTGTCTAGCATTTAACTCACTCAGTGAATATATATCTGAAAACATATTTAATTAGATTAAAACCTTTGCTGCTCTAAAATTCTATTAAAAGTGATTTTTTTTTAAATGTTGGAACTATGATGAACTATACAGATCTAGACTCTCTGGTTTTGCAAATAAGGGAACATAAGATGCTAAGAAGCTGTGATTTCCCAGATGTTTGACAATCTAACACTTAAAACTGGGTCCTTTTTAATTATTATTATTTAACGCTGCCATGCTTCAGTCATATCCACAGGTCCTCATGGGTTTAAATGCAGGGACGGCTCAGGGACAATGCCTCCACCCGGTCCTCTCCCCAAGCCTAGGCTGCAAATCTCTAGGAACCTTCCCTCCTGTCTGCGGCCAACTAGAGCACCTGAATCAACCGCTCCTTTCACAGATGGGAAAGTGAACACCTCAGGCTACTTCCCCAAGGTCAGAGCATGAGGCAGACCTCAGGCCAGATCCAGCTTCTCTCTAGTGCTACTTCCTTTAGCCCACTGTCCGCCTGATTCACACCACTTACACCAAACTTGCTATTTTGAAACCAGACAAATACCTTATATCCATGTAATTTTATTCTACTCAGATGTTGACATTTTTCCTTCGGTGAATCATTAAGAGAACTGGTTGTCACTTTCAACCAACCACGTCAGAACTTATGCACAGGTTTTGGCTCAGCCATACATTAGAAGATTATAAGACCTCCTTTCTTCCCTCATACATATCAAGCGACACACAGGCAATTTGTGGTTTTCATAATTATGTTATTTTTCATCTCTTTTAATTTGGGATTGGTTGTCAACTGAATAAATACTTCAAAAAATAGACTTTGCTGAACGGTACTTTGCTTCATCCATTAAAAAGAAAAAAAAATATGAGAAGATCCACAATGCCTCCCAAGCCACACGATTGGATAACAAATTATTAGTATTTTATAATCAGAAATTTGGAGTGTGAGAAACACATTCGGGACTATTGAGTATAGTAAGTGAGGCAGAGCTAAGAACTTCTGTACTGGTAAACGCAGGTTTTATGCTTATATATATATACATCTCATGATAACTGACAAAATATAATGGTCTCACTAAAAATTGACTTCCTTCTAGAATGTTTTATTTCTAAAAACAAATCCTATTTCCAATCTTTGTGATCAGATACTAATAAAAGGCTAACAAGTATGGCCATAGTTATCATTTCAACAAATTGTAGTAAATACCCTCTCATGAAGTAGCACATGAGCTCCCTTGGGCGGAAACGACTTATCTAGCATTGAAAAATCAGGAAATAAAGTTTGTTATATTTGATAGACTTAATTCTATTATTTGTTTATTTATTTATTATTTTATTCTATTAGTGTTCGCTCAAAACCTATTTTGTGAAAGCCACCGTGCTAAGCAATTACACATGGCACAGATGAATATATATGCTTAAAAGTGGGTCTGGATGTGTTCTAATGCCCAGTTCTTTCCTTGTCCCACATCAATATGCAAGATACAGAGACCACCTTACAGACTTTCTGAGGAAGCGGAATGAGTCTCTCCAAGCCAGTGCAGTCCTCTTTGGCCTTGGCCATTCCAACTCATGGGGGTAAGCCATCCTGGCAGTTCTCATGGGCTAATAGAATCTATCTGCTTAGATTCAGATCACCTCCACAAAGAAGACTTGGAGATTTCCCAAGATGCCAGACCATGAGGCCAACTTTTCAGAAATGTGAAAATTCCCATAAGCTACAGGCAAACTATTAACTAACCCCTCCTCCTTATCAATAGCTGCATACCAATCAGAGACTGACTCCTACCCTCAGATGTCCATGTCAGGATGATACAGACCACAGTAACTCATTTTCTGTCCCTGCAGGTCTAATCACTTGTGACAGAGCTCCTCAGTGTTTAAATTTGCTTCACAGGGATTACACAGTGAATCCTTTTCAGGCTACTTTTCAACTTTTATCAACTTTTATTTATACTGCAACTAAGATCCCGAGCCACCTTTCCTGTCATCTAAGACACAGGATATAGTGTGACCTATGAGCCTGAGGAATAGATAGCAGGGTTTTACAGGTTGCCAAATCAGGACAACAGCCTCCAACCCACACAACTTCCAGAAGAGTAGAAACATCCTGGTTTTGCTCCATGAGTAGAGCTCCACAAAGGCACAGAACAATTACACCACATAAGGATTCACCCTCCCATGGGGATAGAAACAGACTAAAGGAGAAGTCGCTCGTTTTCTACCTGAATTTCCCAAATTTCCCTTGTTTCAATCATTCTCATTAGTTTTATTCCCATGTAATCTTAGTAACAAAGCAAAAATCGTTCAAATTTCAGTAATACATTTTCATTATCTAAAAGCTTTCCTGGACTTGTTATTACACACAAGATAGGACCAAGTGTAGGGCGCCTGGGGGGCTCAGTTGGTTAAGCGACTGCCTTCGGCTCAGGTCATGATCCCGGAGTCCCAGGATCGAGTCCCGCATCGGGCTTCCTGCTCGGCAGGGAGTCTGCTTCTCCCTCTGACCCTCCCCCTCTCATGTGCTCTGTCTCTCATTCTCTCTCTCTCAAATAAATAAATAAAATCTTTAAAAAAAAAAAAGATAGGACCAAGTGTCACCTCTTGACTAATTTTGCACATTTCCTAGAGTTTCCTCGCAGTGGAGGGAGAAAAAAACTGGTTGTGTGCTTTAGACACGTCATTACCTGTGTCATGTGTAGGCCTGGCTGCCTGGCCTTTGGAAGGAATGGAGGCCTGGTTTCCCTTTGGGGAAGCCTATTGGTTCCCACCTCGGAGCTGGCAGAATGTTTCAAAAGTCTCAAACGACCTGTGATGAAATGGAAAATTCACACCGCTTTCAGGATGACATTAATTCTCCTTAATTAAAAACTAATGAAGTTTTCATAACAGCTGTTTTAGAAGGAGAAACATATCACAAAATCAAAAAATGATACAACATCAGAGCTAGACAGGGATGAGAAACAGTGCTTTTAATGAATACTTCGCCTGCCCAAAGATTTGAAATGTGAGTAAGCGGCACACTTTGGTTTTTAAAAATGTTGCGTCTGATTTTTAAATTGGTGCTACTGAAAATTTTTAGGAATTAAGTAGCAGACACCTGTGGCTATTTTTCATTCTTAAAAATCGGACCTCACTATTAAAAAACAAAAAACAACTTGTTTATTCACTACACAAAAGATTCATGATGGGGGCCTTTGAGAATTAGTTCCTCTAATGTGTAATAAATAAGATTCAATTTGCAAAAGTTTAAGCGATATAAGACTTCTCAGGATCAGCCGCTTCCTAGAGCAAGGGGCACCTCTATCTACTTGACACTTATGATGTAATGTTTAATTCCTCTCCAAAATTACATTAAAGTTGACTTTCAAATTAATGCTAGGCCTCTATTAATACCTGTTTATAAAAGGTAGCTATAAGATATGTTTAAAAAAACACACACACACACACTAAAATTAAGTTGAAAATAGAGGCATCACATATCCAGCTCATTTAATTTGACCTTATTATTCTAGAAAGAGTTATTGAATGCCTAATATGTTCAAGTACTTCCATAAGCAATGTTAAGGAGAGCTCTGGACATTAGTTGCTACATGGGTCATAGCCATGTCATATATCTAATTGACATAATTGACATTAGATACCAAATGCAGAACTCTCATTCACATAGGATCTTTTTTAATGAGTACAGTACTTCTTACTGTACTTACTTACAAATGAACATATTAAAAATAAAAATAAAAAATAACTAAGCAGTGTAGCAAGAGATACATGTAATGGGGACTTCCAGCCTCACTTCTGCATGACTAAGCATTTAAAATTTATTGTTCACTCACTCAGATTTCCCCCTGGAAATATCATGGTAAAACTGTTCATAAACCGAGCAACAAGTATATAAAATCACTCCTCGTGTGTAACCTCCATTTTTTGGCGTGTCCAATTAACATGGTAAGTCCTATAAAATAGTTCAATCGCCAACAATTAATATATTTTAATTAATTCTTTTTCATCATTATTAAATGACATTTTTAATTCTTACTCCACAATCATGATTATGTGTCTCTTTTTTTAAAAAAACAACAACCAGTATTAGTACATATACATAAACCTTAGTAGCACTGAAGAGCGATTATTAAGAATAAAACAATCACACAAGATCAATCAGTCCATTGACTAACAGTTTTCGAGCACCTACTATGAGCAAGGCACCGTAGGACAGAGATTTCCTAACTGGTATGCCAAGGCACACTCCTGAGCCAATAGGGGTCCAAGGGTGCTGAGGTATTGACCCTAGCATGTCTCAGGGTGGTGAGGTGAGCACCTGGTCTGGAATTCTGTCCATGAGCAT